TATTACCGGCCCCTCGAGCACTATTTTACATTAGTACAGCTTAACTTTTAATCTCAACAATAGAATTCTCCAAACCATAAAAAAAAAAAAAAAAAAATTCAAACCATTTATTTTTTTTTTCGTTCATTGATAAAAATATCAATTATTATTAATGTGCGCTTAAAGAAAAAAACTCGAATTAATATTAAAGTAAAGTAAATGTAAGTCGCGTTTTACATTTTGACTGTGATGTACCTGATGGATTTTTAATTCGAAATTGGTCGTACAATACACTTATCATAATATTCCAGATGACGCATTGATTCATTTAGTTATTGTATTTTTATATATTTATTTACTTTATTTGTTTGCGAGTATTAACAATTTTAATAATTTTGTTATTACTTTATTATTTTATTATTTAACATTAAAGTATTAATAAAACACAACCTGAAAGGCTACAATATTAATCACCCTACCGATCTTCTCGTTTTAAAAAAGCTATTCGAGAAATAATTGTAGAACATAAAACATAAACATGAATTTATGTGCCGTAAAACTACGAGACTGGAAAAAAGTTCCTTTTTTTCATCGTTGTTATTAATTAAAAATATTTTTCTTCGCTTAGGAAACAGTTAAGGTTTTTTTTTTCCTAAATAGATTTAGAAAAAAATTCACGTTTATTAGACGCTTTTAGACGATAATAACAATTAATAAGAGAGCTTGTTATTATAGTCATCGAAGGTATAATGTTATAATATAGCAATAAATAAACATTAAAAACAAAACACGGTTATTCGCGTTTATAATTCCGTTTTTCGAATTTATACCTACACATATGTACCTAAAAAAAAAAACGTAAATTTATTAACAAGACCGCAGTAGGTATAACAAAAAGGTATCTCGTAGAATATTAACAATTGACAATATTGTTTAGATTCTGAGGGAAACTATTGTAAAAATTATGTATTATGATGTGTGCCTTTGTTGTTTCTTGTCCGCAATTAATCTTTTCACCAGGATTATGTTCATCACATAATTGGGGGAAAAGGTCGCAAAATGGGAAGATGTGCTCGATTTCAGTTAGTTTCGATTTTGATTTTTTTCACCAAACACTAATTTAAGCCCTTTAAAACGCTCATTTGATTTTATCAATTTTATGTGAATAGCATTTTTGCTTAATCAAGCAAAAATGCTATAAAATTTAACAGAGGTTCATCATAAGTGGTACTAGGGTATGAAAAACAAGGTCTTAGTGTAACGTAGTAGGTTATTATTAGTATATCTTAAGTTTATCTACCCAATATTACCTATCTATATAAGATAGATATAATCTATCTATCCATTTACAACAGTGACAGAAATGACACATCTATCAGCAGTATAAGCTCTTTTTTAGATTCTGAGTGAAGCTATAGGAATGTATTGGTTTATTACAATGGTTTTTTTTCGTTTGTTAAAAACTTTTAAACTAGATATATTGCATTTTCAAATGTAGTATTTTTTCTTGAAGAAAATCATACCTATAGTTGGTGCTGTTTTCATAATAAATGGGGAAAAAACGTAGGAAAAACTGGAATATTTTTTTGTATAAGCGTTTCAAGTTCAAATTTTGACAAAAATTATATAAATCACATTGTATACAAAACATTTGCAGAGAATCGTATTTCATTACCAATTATTTATCGTCGCGTACATACATATATTTAATAACTTTATGTATATTCTACGTTCCCAACATCCCACCTACGATAGTGGCACACCCGTCAGCAGTATCCGTTTTATAAATTTGTATTATCATTATAATAATGAGCACTCGGTAATATTAGTAATATTAATAGGACCGACTAATTAAGCCGAACGTCGTCTACATAGTAATTAATTTTTGACTTCCATCACACGACGCCCAAACATAATATATATATATATTTGTATTACGCTCTCGGCTAATTAAATTCGTTTTAATTTGTGTTATCTCCAGTGGCGTAAACACGAGTGGTTAACGAGTCATAACCACTCTTACCCATTTCCCGAAGGGGATTCCGACAACAATACTGTTTTTGAATGTTTATTTATGGAAAATGTATTTATTTTTTTTTTTTCAGGTGAATGAGAGGATTGCAAAACTAGCCTCCACATCCCGACATTTTGTTTCTGGCTACGCCACTGATTGTGTCCATAATCGTGAAATATAATTATATACAGAGAATATAATTGTAGTGTTGTAAAATTATTATCAGTGATTCAGTCGTTTCGAAATTCGGTACGTGCCAAACTCTCGTCGACTGATGCGAGAAAAAGGATATTTATCAAAAAATCCTTACTCGAATATTGTCCTCGTATGTTCTTGGCGTTTAGTTTGTGTATTTTATTTTAAAAGTTAAAACTCGGCGTTTAAACGTATAGTGGTTGATTAATAAATGTAGGAAAATCATATTTTGACAGCAGATTACTACAATAGTTATTTATGGACTAAAGGAAAATATTAAGTAACACATTTTTCGACATTTTGATATCATTTCACAGACCCTGCAAAAGTCAGAGATTGCAACCGGAAATGCTAACTCAAGACGAGGCTGAAAGTTTAACGACTCAATGTTCATCTTAATTTAAAGCCCTCCAAAAGACGTCACCGATTATATACGTCACTATTTTGAATTTGCGTTGATTTTTTCGGCAGACGAAAACTCAATTCTTTTTTTTTACAAATTTGAGAAAAAAATAATACTCATTCTTTGTTCGTTTTCTATATAATGTAGTCCTAGGACCAAATCCAGATAATTTACTAACATTTTTAAAAATAATAGACAACTTTACGAGCTAATTTAAAAAATACGAGTATAAATTAAAATTCTACGTTCTTAAACATTGTAAATAACCTAGATTTAAAAAGCTAACTTGTAAAAGCTAATTACAATAATAGTAGTGGTAGAAGTTGCAATTTGATCAAAAAATGAACAACATAGTCTTAAATTATTTAAGGAACGATATGCGAATGAATAAATTGGAAAACTTTAATAAGTATATAATAAATATATTATAAATGTTAATACTCGAAATCCGTTAAAACGAGCTTCAACAAAACTTGGGTTTTACTAGTTAAAACTAGAATTAACCACAAATTGAAATTGATCGAGACTAGTTTTAACTAAAACGTATGCATTCGAACTCGTACTACCTCTAAAACGCACGCAACCACAAACTTTCTATAAATATCGACCCATGAATTCGAAAGCCCGGCTATCAAATCAATTAAAGTAACTTCGACCGAATATACCGAACAATAATAATAGTAATAATAATAACCATAATATAGAAGTGATAGAAATAATATTAGGTAAATTGAGAGAAAATAGATTGAAATAGTTTGGGCATGTCACGGGGAGAGAGGAATCTGAAGCAGTAAGAGTTGTAAGGAAAAAATACGTAGAAGGAAATAAGTGGAAAGGAAGACCGAAAAAGAGGTGGTTGGATGTGATTGAGAATGATATGAAGACAGTCAGTGTTTGCGGGGTGGGAGATCGGGTCAAATATAGAAGTTAAGAACGAGGGTGGTCGATCCAAAATAGTTGGGATAAAGACGAAAGAGAAGAAAATGTGATATGAACGATATTTACAGGCAAATCGTTTCTTTCAATAAATTGTAGCCAGTTTTTTGGTGACTTTCGTTCCTTTCTCGGCAGTGTCAGTACAAGGTTTTGTGAAGTGCAATTTCAAAAACCATGCACAACAAATCATTACTCGTTTTAAATAAATCAGATCGTGTGCGATTCTAAACGTCACGATATTTTGCCGAGCCGAAACGAATAACAATGTTCAATTATCCTGATTCAGACAATAGTAATTTTCTATATATTTTATCTTATTATCTACTGATTATATATGATTTTCTCTAGTTTAAAGTACGATACAAAAATTACTTTTAATATTCAATTTTTATGATATAATTATAGTTTTCACCAATATATTTCTAATACGACTAGTTAAAACTAAAAAAATTATGTTAAAATTAGTTCTAACGTTGAGACCCTTAGTTAGTTCTAGTTTTAGCTAATGAAAACAAGTTTTAAAGAATTTCGGATTTTAATTGTAACATATACATATTTACATTTATTGTTTGATTTTACACAAAACATTATCGTCGTTCACAATATTTTATTCGTTACAATTTCCTATATATATTGTATATAATCGATTACGCGTATATTATTAGAGAAATCTCGTAAAAAGTTTTAATTAAAAAAAAAAAAAAAAAACAAAACAAACCAAGCAATAAGAAAATAAATTTGTTCTTTTTATTGAAAATAAAAAAAAAACCCTTCCCATAAACATCACGTATAAAATAATAATAAAATCCGATTTCGAGTAAAATATATAGTATGTAGGAGGTATCTTTCTATTTTATATGCGTCTGATCGGAGAAAGGTTTTAGTTTTTACACGGAAAAAAGAATTGGTTTTACGAAATAAAAAAATAAAAAAAATGCATAAGTAATATGCTATTCTGTTTCGGTAGATTTTTTTTATTAAAAAGTTAACAAGATTTTTAAAAACGTTTATAAAAAAAAAAATATCAAGGATCAAATATATGTTTCAAATAGAACATAAAAATAACAAGTATATATAGCGACATCACAGGAATGTTTGATTAAATCCGGCGATAAAAAAAAAAAACGAATATATTTTGGAGTATATTACTAATAATAAGTATAAAAAATACCATATTTAAATTCATTATTATTTATTTACAGTTATTTAAAAAACAAAAAAAAATATCAAAACTTACCTTTTCAAAGTGAAACTTATATAAGTGAAAAAATTCACCAACTACAACTGATAGACATTAGGTTTATTTTCCAATAACAGCGTGCAGGTAAAAAATTGTATAATAATCATAAAATCCACTTAAACCATAATGACGATCATTATTTAACCCTACGAAGAGAAGAAAGGCAATGCCGTCATTTGGGAGGGCTTTAGATCTTCATCAGAGTATAAATTTTAGTTTTCTTTTGAATCGTGATGATTTGGATAATTTCTGGATTTATGGATCTGAGAGAGAAAAAGTCAAAATACTCGTACATGTTCTTAAATATTTATCTGTGATCATAAGCGTGCGCAGGTCCTCTTGGCAGGGGAGACCACGATCTTTAAAATCAAATCTTACACAAAAATCATAGGTACAAAATAGTACAAATATTTTTTGAGAGCACTTTAAGCCCCCATTATTTTAGAATTTACTCGAAGAGGACTTTATTTTAGGGGGCTTGGTTGAGTATTTGGGGAAAGTCAAAATTCTCCAAAGGCATTTCCCCTGTTTGCACTAGTGCACAAAACTAAGAGTGCTACGTTTGGATTTAATATTTTAAAAAGGTAAGATAATGGGGACGAGTGCAGCCACTGTTGTAGATGGAAAGTTAGGAAGGTAGAATACAGATGGGAATTTAATGTATATCTATTAGCAACGATAAACTATTGCTGCAACGAAAAAACGATTCTGAGCGGAGTTCAATTGATAGTGATGCTTTGTCAACAATATATATGTCATATTATAGTAAAATAATTAAATAGGCTCTATATATTCTCTTTAATAATATTTGTTTAATGTTGTACCGATTTTCTCGGGTTTCCCAGTTTTCCAAATTTGATAAGAAAACTCCTAAGAAAATCAAACAACGACCTCTCTAAAGAACCTCTCCAACGAATTTTCTTTCAGAAAAATTGCTATCATTAAACGTTGAAGCAAAATTGCTGGTAGAAAAGTTGTCCACAGAAAAAAAATCGTAATATTATACAATTATATTTCGTAAATTTTCCAGTTTTTTTTTTAATGAGAAAACTTTTGAGAAAACCTAATCGAAAAATTACCTCTCTAAGGTACCTCTCCATACCGAATTCCTTTCAGAAAAGTTGCTACACGTAAAAATCGGAGCACGTCTTCTGGTAAAAAAGTTGTCCACAAAAAAAAAATCTTTATAAAACCATGGGCTTCTTCGCTCCACTGAGAATCTAAAAAAAATATATATCTAACATGTTTTTATAAATATTTTAGCGGGAAATCTCGTAGAGGAGGCAACTGCTTCTCTTTCTTACCCCGTGCGCACGTTCATATCTGTGATATTATCAATGCTGTTCCTCGTTTAAATAAAAAATCCTCGACGATATTTTCTATCACTGCTATCACTACATCGTGTTAAAAAAGTGAGAGATAAGTGACATAGTATTATGGATTTATTATCATTTTCTACTTTTACTATTATTCAATATTTGATAACATCTGTAACTAGCTGTTCTACTACAAACACCGAAAACGATGTTTCTTTATTATTTTATGGTGTCACCACTGATTGTACATGGTATACTGACACCACCGAAAAAAGAATACGAATAAACAATTTGTCCGCACATCACATACAATAATATTTATAGTACCTAATCCGCGGTCAAATTTACGATTTTCCTATTTTTAACGACGGTTTTTAACTTTTATAATACAATATAAATTTAAACGCCATTAATGTAGGTTTACGCAACTAAATTTCCTTTGTTGTATACGCATACTTATAATAAAGTATAATAATAATATATATATTTATTTTGCGACTACAAAGTACAAGGTAAAATACAAAATAAAATAAACAAGTTGCAAGTAATGTATTTATACTAGCTGAAATACCCACGACTTCATCCGTGCAGACTTATATAATGCCTTTTCAACGGTGTATAAAAGGTATACATAAGGTATATATATATATATACAAGGTAAGTAAGGTAAGTATATCGTATAGTTCAAAGAAATAAATACAATAACGCGAAATGTAATAAAGGAACGAATCGTAATACGTAATACGAATATTATTAACTACTACACTAACGCTATTAACTATTATTTTAAATTACTTATCTGTTTTAAAACGCTATGAAACATAATGGTCAAAGTCTTTCAACGTGGCGCCAGGATGTAGAGCTTTAGGGCATTAAACACACGCAAATATGCTTCGTAAAGCCGAGAGCCGTGATTTCTACAAGTGTACCTAAGTAACTTGTAATTTTCTAAAGGGATTGTTACCTTTTTGACTGAAACGGGAGGTCTGTGGGTATTATTAGAATCCTAGGGAAAATAAAATTTTCGCCCTTTCCGAACCCTGTCAGAATTGAAGTGTTAATTATTTTCCGTCCAAAATATATGACGCGATGTCTCCTGTTATTGCATAGCTTCGAAGCAACTAAATTTTGCATAATATGCATTACTGGAACGATTAATTTTAATTGAAGCTTATGCGAGAATACACCTGACAACTCTAGAAACTCTACTGGGTATAGAGGATTCTGTTCTGTGTCCATGACTTTTTACTGACAAATATCCCGTTATTTATCCTCGAACATCTTTCAATATATATATATATATATCAATATTTTTCACAATATTATTTTTGAACACAAGAATCGCTCTTTGACATAATCGTTAATGATATATTTTATATTGTGAATCAGAATAAACTCTAACAACTAATTCCATGCTACTCTGCACCGAATTACTGTACACCACTGTACTCTAAACCGTAAATGTCCTGTTTTTAACAGAGTATCTGCGTTTTACATAAAGACCTGTATCCATGTCATTGTAAAGCTGCACTCTCGTATTTGTCATCGAATTGATTTTTATCAATATGTTTGATAGAGTGTGCCTCTCTCAATCACTGGTAGAGTTTTCTGGAAAGTACGAGGCTGGAATCACAACCATTACCATCATAATAACCATACTGTATATTCTGCAAAGTTCGATTTAAGGTCTACTATTGCGTTTTAGTGTGCCATTGTGTTTTGTTAACAAATTAATAGTTTACATTAGAACAGCGTATTACTAAATAGTAATTTCTTAATTCTTCAACTAACCCCGTGCCAAAAATCACGTCCATCTGTTATGCTCAATTATACTGTGAAAAAAATGACAAGCAAACAAACACATTTTCGCATTATAATACGGATAATAATTGAAGGGAAATATTCGAGCGAAGCGATATATTTCATCTCCAGTCAGCCAATTCGAAAAGTCTACCAAATATTGAAATGACGTCACTGCCGCCTATCAACCCCCCCCCCTAAAAAAAATAAATAAAAAAATTGGCTACTCGACTAGGACGAAACGATGATGTTTTATAAAATGTATAAAAAAAAAAAACTTAGATAATTATTCGCAATATAAACATAATGATATTGATTTATGGGTGACATTTCAAGATAAGGGACTGCACACGTATTAGTAGGCATACTTGCAAATACACGTGGGATAAACACACATTTCGCCAGATGTAATTATTATGTTTTCCGTTCGGAACATTCGTTTTCTTGACGTTTTGATGTATATATACATATTGTACATATATTTTTTTTTTTATTATTATTATCTTATCGAAATGTATAAGCGCACGATAATCTCTAGGTAGAATTATGTACATTCGTATTATAACGCGCGTTATAACTCGTGCACGTTATTATCACACGATGAGCTTATAAAATGTTTTCGTACGTTTTTATTGTTCCTTAATACATAATATATACAAGGTGATCTAATTAAGTGGGTACACTCATTACCTCGAAAAATATTAACTTTTTTCGGAATTTATTTTACAAAACATTTAGGAAACAAGTGGCTCTACAATTTTACATTTACGCTATTTTTAGTCAGCCCTATTTTTGTGGGTAAAACCACTACCAACTTTTGATTTTAAAATTGCAACCTATAATACAAATTCCATAGATAAATACAGTAATGGGTAGTTAAAATAAATTTTGGTGTTGACATTTTTTATTTCCGTCAATCCGTTAACGAGATATTCTACTTTTAAATTTATATAAGGGGAGATAGTGGTGTATTATTAAAACGCCGCGTGCCACACAAATGATGTTTCAATATTCTCCCTTTAAATAAACTTAGTAGAATATCTCGTTAACGGGTTGTCGGAAATAAAACATTTTAATACCAAAATTGAATTATTTCCGAGATAACGAGTATATCCATTTAAATTGATCGCTCTGTATATTATTTCCATATACCTATGTGGAAGTAAAACTATTGTATCTACTTGTTTTTTATATATAAATTATACAGAGTGTATTAAGTATTTGCAAGATTCGAAAATTTCCTATGTGCAATTGCAAAGGAAATTTCCATATCCTGCTGATACACTCTGTATATAACTGTCACGCCACTGCCGTTAATACGAATATGAATATTTCACAACCCTTCCGCAATGCCGTATATATAAGTGTTAAAAAGATAAAGAAAATAGTTTATTATTTTTATTTTTTTTTTGAACATATTCTACTTTACTATGACTATGATACTTTTTTCAATTCGAAATGTTCATATTTTTCCCTGAAATTCAAAATTCTAATCCAAAATCTCGAAAATTATCAACAGTCTATGCTATACTTATATTATTGTGAATTTTCGTATCGTTATTAAAATTTAATTAAATAAATAACATGATGATATCTTTTGTTTGAAATCGTTTCTATATTGAATTCGCGAGTGTAGAAAACTAAACAAGAAATAATATTTACACGAAATCTAACGAATAATTGAGCAAAGAGAAAAAAATATATAATATATGATTTAATTTACAACACCGGAAATGCGGAAAAGATTTTCACACGCCACACGCCACAGTGTTCTAATTTTCTATATATATCCAGACTTCTGGCGTCAGTTTCAGGGGAAAAAAATGACACGAGATTGTCATGATTTCTTTTATAAATTGTTTTGTAAAAAAAAAAAATAAAAAAAAGCAAACCTGGCCGGAAATAGTCTATATAATATTGTATGGTTCACACAGGCGCATCGTTATAAACTTATACAAACGTATTGAATTTTTTAACGATTTTGCGGATATATGCTCGTATATTTTTTTTGCGACCAACATAAAATAAATGGTCGATGCCCGGGTATAAAACGGAATAGGTATATTTTAACCACTTTTTTTTTTTTTTAATTGCATATTCTTGTAGATTACAATAATCTATATTGATTGACATTAAAAACCGAAACTAATTGAATGTAATTTTTTGATAAAAACTATCAAAATAATATAATATATTATTATCAGCCGTTACACAAAATATAGGAATGACTTTACGAACACTGATGTATTATTATAAAAATAGTGCTTTTGAACTTAAAGTATAAAACTATAAGTATAAGTATATAAATGTACTTACTTGACGATGAGTACAGATAATATTGT